GGATAAACCAACAATTAATTGTGTGTCAATTTGTTTCTTTTCAAAAAGATGTGGTAATGCAGTTGATTTAATATTGCCACAATTAATCCATAAAATATTTAAACTTCAGGCCTCTGGAGATGGACTGATATCACTTTGCACAAATAAATTACCAGTGGCCCAATGCCTTAATGTGATATAAATACAAACTCTTAGATTATCTGATCATCTTTGAGAGATATTACATAGTGGTTAATTATTGACTCACTAAGACATGGTATCTTGCTACATGTTTATATCATTTAGACTCTTGACAAAAAAAATTATAGGAATAAAATCTCACAGTGAGTATAACTGCTGATTGTTTATCCTCACTGGTTTTTCTATTGATATATATTCAACATTTTTTAAAGCACTGGGTTTCTGTTCTTTCGATTTCATCAGAATACTTTTGTGCATTTACAAAAAAAACAAAAGAAAATGGGCCTCTATTGTCACATATTGTGGGGTGCCATATCATAACATTTTTGAATTTTTCAGCAGACTAGTTTAGATTTCAGATGACTCATTTGTTCAGAAATAATTTTAAAAGAAAAAAATTCCAATCATTTACGTAATAGAAAACACATTGAGAAGAGAGCCAGTCTGCACATCTGGTTATGCAATCGGGATGCTGGTTCGGCCAGTGAGGAAGGACCGTGTGCACAGGCAGCGTGGTGGGCAGAGGTCTGAGGGGCCGAGCCTCACCTGCACACAATTACAGCAGCGGCTGGAGTTACTTCCAATCAAGGCAGCCAACTGACCCTAATGCAAAGCAGATGGACAGTTTCTCAACATGCAAATTGCAGGATCAGGGTACATCATAATTAAAGAGATTTTCAAATGAAGAAATTTGAACTGACAGCGTACTGATGCTCGTTATGTTCCAAAAGGCTGTTGGTAGTTGAGTGATATTCAAGATTAAATAAAACCTTACAGTGAGGGGATTCGGATGCTTGGATTTGCTCCTGGCGAGTTCAGGTTGCTTCAGCTGCTGGAGTATTTACTGTAGCTGTATTTACTCTAGAGGATCAGGCATTGGAAAGCCAAGGAGAAAGGCGGATTTGGATGTCTCAGAGAGTGTCCTCCATGAGTTTGAAGCGCTGGTCATCTCCTCTTTACCGTGCACACACAAAAAATCAAGTGAATTGTGACATGCTCTCAGAGGTTGCTCTCTCTTCCTGTCTCCACATGAGCCCTCAGGAGAACTATGTGTCCAGCACCTGCCTGCACACCTTGAATGCAGGAACAATGCAAAATGATCATTCTGTTGAGATTAGTTTCTCATCACTCTGAAAAAATTTCATTGGCATCTTCTTGACACTTCTGGATAAAAGCCAATCATCAATTAACTTTGGGATTTCCATCCTATCACAAAATGTTCTTTCTTTTTTTAATGGAAAAGTTCTATGGTCAGTGCAATAAACATGCAAAAATTTTAGTATTGCTTTATTATTTAGTATTTACATTTTTCAAAAGAGTAAGTAAATGTACAAGTGAGAAATATAACCGTGACAGAAAACAGAGATCCGAGTTTCTTGAAAGAATATGTGATTTAAGAAGACAGCACTAGGCCGGGCGCTGTGGCTCACGCCTGTAATCCTAGCTCTTGGGAGGCCGAGGCGGGCGGATTGCTCAAGGTCAGGAGTTCAAAACCAGCCTGAGCAAGAGCGAGACCCCGTCTCTACTATAAATAGAAAGAAATTAATTGGCCAACTGATATATATATATAAAAAATTAGCCGGGCATAGTGGCACATGCCTGTAGTCCCAGCTACTCGGGAGGCTGAGGCAGAAGGATCACTCGAGCCCAGGAGTTTGAGGTTGCTGTGAGCTAGGCTGATGCCACGGCACTCTAGCCTGGGCAACAGAGCGAGAAAAAAAAAAAAAAAAAAAAAAAAGAAGACAGCACAGAAAATGTGTCATGTTTTCTTTCTTCCCTAAGTGACTTTCAAGCAGGGAGAGGCTTATCATTGCCTCAAAGGTTTGCATAAATGTTCCAGTATTCTCTTATTTCCTGAGATGCATTCTAGAGTGGAGAATAGGAAAGTGGATTAGGCTATTCCTTCAGCAAAAAATTTACTGAACATTTGCTATTGCAGAACATTCTGTCCTGGGACGTTGTGAGTGCAGGAATGAAGGAGAAATGGTTTTGGACCTCTGGGGGCTGTGACTTAGCTGGGGAAGACAGACATCATTAAATGACCTTGCTGCAGCAAGAGGCAGTTCAATGCATGTCTTGACAGCTACAGGCTCAACATTGAAGAGGGCCAAAAGAATAAAGCCTTTATTTCCAACCGGGAAGTTTAGGGAAAGTGTCACAGAGGCATGGTATTTGGTCTGAGCCTGGGAGTATTCAAGCTTCTGCAGTCAGAAAATAGAAGGCAAGTTATTTCAGAGTGGGGGGAAAAAAGCCATATACAGGCCATGGTAGTATGAAGTACCTGACAGTGTGTTTCTAGGAAAGCTGGGTTTAAAGATAGGATCTGTGACGAAAATGTACGATGTCAGAGGAGATAAACTGAAAGATAAATGGCAGCCTATGATGAAGATGGATGGATGGATGAAGGATGGTTGAAGATGGATGAAGAAGAGGCCAGTTTTCCTGCATCCTATAGAGAATGGGATGCGATTGAAGGGTTTGAGAATCTGAAGGAGAGAATCTTGCTTCTACTTTAGAAAAATAACTACAAAATGCCCAGAAGAGAGAATTAGGAAAAAGAGAGTTGTAGGGAGATGGGTCGGGAAGCTATTGTGAAAGTAGACGAGGAGGGAAGTAACATGGAGTGGTCACCATGGAGACAGAATGGTTCAGGAATTCCTACAAAGGTACTGTGCAATAAAGCAACTACATGTCAGTGGGTTCAAGAACAAATCACAAAATGTTCTAAGAGCTCTTAGTTGTCCTAAAGAACGAAGTTGCCATGAAGACAGATATCCCAGGAGAAGGAGCATATTTTGGGGATAGGAATTTGAGATGGCATTTGAGCAGAGAAATTCAGCAGGGAGGGAGAGAGGGTAGCTTGCAGCCTAGGCAGATTTTGGGGATAGATTAGAAAATCGTCTTCTTAGCTGAAATATTCTAGCCGTCAAAGTAAATGTAACCTCCATTGTAAGGTTATGCACAGAGAAGAAAATTTATGATACAAGTTTGAAAGAAAATTCATGTCTTAGCAGAAGAGGAGCCAGAAACTGGCTTAGTCAAGTTCCAAGCCAAGCAGGAAAGTTGACATTGGAATAAGATTGCCCAAGGTTTTGCAGATCTATCAGAAATCACCTCTTTTCTCTACCATTTGGTGTGTGTTTTCCTAATTTTAAATGTGAAAAGAAGTAGAGAATTCAGAGAGAAACCAGAGATCAGATCATAGCTCCAGGCAACTTACTTAATCTTCCTTACACTCCATTATCTCACATTCAAAATGCAGATAATTAACCCTTCACCCACTTTACAAAGTCCCAGTGAGAGTCAGGTGGGGCAAATGTAGGGTAAACTAAAGGGCAAGGTACAGCTGTAACACACCAGCACATCAAATGCAGAATTCAGTAGGTTTGGTAAATGTGCTCTTTAGAAAATATTTTTTTAAAAAATCAATGACTTTTGAATATACATAAGTATGCTTTTTAGAAATTATCCAAACCATCCAACTACATATTTGATAACTTTAAATTTTTCCTAAACAGGACTTAGCATGCTTTCGTATCAAAATGAAATGAGTTGAAATTCAGCCATGTCACCAATGTGTATCAAATATTATTTACATTTGGTGTTTGCACATTTTTCCAGTTTCCTCTCTGTTTACACCTGAGAAATGGGAAAAGAAATAGAGCATTCTGAACTAGCCTTTCAAATAGGTTTTCAATGCTCTAGGCAAATGCCCATTCTCCACAGAAAATGATTTAATGATGATGCATTCGTTCTAGGTGTCCATGGTGTTCAATATCATGGCACCAGAGATTCTACCTAATCAGTTGCTTTTACATACCCTCTTAGTACTATAAATTTCTTTTAAAATTCCCTTCTATAATGGCTACTATTTTGAACTGTGGATCTTAAATCCTTCAGTCACCAGACAGCTTGTGAGAAATCAGCATGATTAACTACTTTAAAATGCGACACTTGCGTGAAACTTCTGAAGCAATGCACTCACTCGTGCCAAAACCGAACATGACAAATTCATCCTTTTCCAATTTTAAACCATGAAATGTATAGGGGAGCGCCCAAGCAATCAACTGGGGAATCCAAAACACTTAACGCTTTGGAAATCAGTCTTGTGAGATTTCACCACTGAGAAGATTTAGCTTTGCAATTTCTTCCTTAAATGGAAAATGCCCTGTGATAGAAAGAACATCAAACCTGGGAACCGTGTTCCAGTGAACCTAGAATATATCAACAGAAATGGAGCGTGTTAAAAATGGGAAAAGTGACTTGACGTTCTTTATAACTATCACCTCGTGTGAATTCCATGTTGAATTCAAGTGAAGCAACCTGGTAATGTGATTTATTCAGAAGAGTGCACATGAAACCATTGCCCTAGGGATTACGAGGGAGAAAACTACTTGTTCAGAATCAGCTATCAATTTATTTATTATTTTTATTTCAGCATATTATGGGGGTACAAATGTTAAGGTTACATATATTGCCCATGCCCCCCTTCCCTCCTCGAGTCAGAGCTTCAAGCGTGACCATCCCCCAAACGTTGCACATCTCACTCATTATGTTTGAGAATCAGGTATCAATTTAGACCCTGTTTCATAAAAAAAAATAAAGAAAAGGAAAAGCTAAAAGAAAAGGGGCTAATAGTTGCGCTCAATGTCAGAAGACTTCAGTTGCGAAAGCTTGGATGGAGAGGCCACTTTTATGAACGGAAATAGACCATCACTTGTCAGCCGATGAGATCTGTCTCTTCGTAGATTTTGTTCCTCAAATTTGACTTCCATCTGGGGCACACACAGATTATTTTAACTGGCATGGTTTTGTTGCAGGTGTCCCCCTGAAGCCCAGAAAAGAGTTACGATTCACAGAACTGCAGTCTGGGCAGCTGGAGATTAAGTGGTCCTCGAAATTCAACATTTCCATCGAGCCTGTCATCTATGTGGTCCAGAGAAGGTGGAACTATGGCATCCACCCCAGTGAGGACGATGCCACGCATTGGCAGACAGTGGCCCAGGTGAGCGCCTCCTAGACTTTGCTTTTCCCCCTGAGGTAGTGTCTCTTCCACACCTACATAAAATTAACTTGCTATGCCTCGGAAGAGCTTGACTACAAAAATAACTTAATCACACGTGGAATTAGTATCCTGCTTATCTGCTTAAAAGAGAATGAGGACTGCAGATATAAACCAATACACCCAGGGACTTGACTATTGGCTTCATTTGCTCAAAAAACACATGGAAGGGAGGTAATTTTGTAATCTGATTGTTCACGTTTATTTTCTCCAAGAACTACATTTCCTTTAGCTAAACCCAATACCAACCAGAGTCGGGGAAATGCCACACTGTTAGGACTGGTTAATGTGATATTTAATAATCTACAAGGCGTCTCTTCTATTTCTCCTACATTTAAGCTTTTATTCCACCCAAGGACTTTGGTAGCATGGAGCTAGATTCATATCACAAAACTGCTTAGTGGGAAGTAGCCAACAGCTCATAAATCTTTGCTAAGTGCTTTCTTCTTCATCTTAGTCAACTTAAAAACTGATATACCACCTGGATGGCAAAACTCCCAGAGTTTATCTTAACAGTACTTCCTCCTCTTCTGTCCTGTTGATGAGAAAAGCAAAATATTTTCTTTCTTTTTAAGAGCTGTTAAATGGACTACCAGATGCAAAAAAAAATGAAGAAGAAGAAAAAGAAAAAAATCAGAAAACTACATGGATATAAAACAAACACAATAAATACTCAATGTGAAACTGCTTCATGCTTTTCAACAACTAAAATGCCTTCTCCACATTTATGTCTATAGGGAAAAATTCTTACCTTAAATTGATCAGATCATTTTTCTCTAAGAACTAGATTTTCATTTTTTTTTTCAGTAAGTATAAAATAAATTTCAGCATTTAGGTGTTTAGAAGAGGAATTTGGTTATTTTCTCAATTGTAATGTCTCAAAAGGGATAAACACTAAAATGAAATAAAAACCCCAAAATAAATAAGAACTTTAATGTGAAAGAAAGTAATATTAAATTAGTTTAATATTAGAAAAAAATTCCTGGCTATATAAACTTAACAGTTGTATTTTATACCTATTTTATTAAAAAAAAATTTGCTTTAATGAAACATAAAGTTACTCAGAAAACAGCCCAAAATTGCATTTGATGTACCTGGCCTGCTCCCATAAATAATGGTACTACAGATTCATTTGTAACTTTTCCAAGTTATGTAAAGATTTATGAAAGTAACTGACAGTAAGATCATCCCTTTTATCCTCTTCTTTTGGAAAGAGGAAAGCCCCTGAATTATTATAGGTATTATTCTTGCCAGTTAATGCCACACATAGTACTTCTTCCCTTTGTCAGCTAAATGTTCTGGATGTACCGCTGAGTTTAAGCTTTTTAAATTTACAGCTGAAACTCTAAAAGGTGAAGTCAGTTGAAAGTGTTGTCTCAAATTCTGCCAAATCAAGTAGAGAGCCCAGTTTACGAGTTCATAGTCTTCCTTTGATCTCAGAAATGTTTAGCTCCTTTTGGATGTTGATGTAAATGCGACAGTCCTTTTCTATAAGTTATTATAGACAGAGGTTTGAAAAGGTTTGAATTTAAACCTATTTCCCCAATTTCGTCCATAGAGCCAAGCTGAGTTTGGCACTAGGTGTAGGTGAGGACATGGACTGTGAGTATTTATTCCTTGGAATTCAAGGCAAAGCTTTCAGATCTGCAAATGGGAACAAAACGTAGAACACTGTTGAAAGCAAGTCTATATAGTATGAACACTGTTGAAGTTATTTGATATCTTGGGCTCGTGGCAGTACAGACAGCAAAGCCTACTGACTTTCCAAGTGTCTTTTTGCTTTGGGCATTTTACTGGACAAAGATATACTAACACATCTCACCCTATAAAATCATAGATGTTAGGTGATTTGCTCAAATTAAAAAAAAAATAGTGTCTTGGATTACAATTTACCTCCAGAAATTGTTAGTGTTCTTTAAGCATGTGAGTTGTTTATACCTAACTTCCAGAATTATATTTGGCATGCAAGTTAAAGGAGCATTTTCTTCCTATAATCTAAAGATGATTTCATCTTCATGTCTATAATGTAAAGATTACTATACATATATATTCTTTATTCATTAAATCCCTGAAATGCTGTATCTAGCCACCAGATTTAAAAATAGCCCATGCATTTGTCACAGATTTTTTTTTCTTTGAGACAGAGTCTTGCTCTGTCACTCTGGCTAGAGTGTAGTGGCATCATCATAGCTCACTGCAGCCTAAAACTCCTGTGCCCAAGCAATCCTTGTGCCTCAGTTTCCCGAGTAGCTGGGAATACAGGTGTGCACCACCACATCCAGCTAATTTTTCTATTTTTGGTAGAGACTAAGTCTTGGTTTTGCTCAGGCTGGTCTCGAACTCCTGAGCTCAAACAATCCTCCTGCCTCAGCCTCACAAAATGCTGGGATTATAGGCGTGAGCCACTGTGTGTGCCCAGCTATCACAAGATTTTGATTTCCAGAGGTGTTTAATTCTTTGGGGTGTCATAGCAGGGGTTCCTTGAGCCCTAACTGCCCCCTCCATAACTGGGCATCACAAGCTTTCTACCCAGAGTTGCATTGGCTGAGAAGTCAGTGTATTTTTAAAAACTGATCCAAGCTGCATGCCAGAATACAAATGGAATGTTCCCTGTGCTCTGTGACATCTCTCCCCAGACCACAGACGAGAGGGTTCAGCTGATGGACATCCGGCCCAGCAGGTGGTACCAGTTCCGAGTGGCCGCTGTGAACGTGCACGGGACCCGCGGCTTCACGGCCCCCAGCAAGCACTTCCGCTCTTCCAAAGGTGGGTCTTCCCGCCCTGCCCGGACGCGCATGCGCCTCGCTCCCTCCCGGGCACAGGTGGAATGCACTCTTTGTGTGCTCACACGAATGGTTAACGGGCACGTGGCTTTCTGTCCTTAGAGTGTGGGACCGGATGTGTTTGAAAGGACTTTGTCCATTGCTGGTGAAGGGCATCACTGGGCTTTTACCTGCAAGGCGTCACAAAAGATAATATAAGCGTTTTTTTATTTTTTAGCTTTGAAGTGGGGGTGCGTTTCCATTATCAACTTCTGTTGAGTTTTTGCTTAACGGTATTCTGCATCAAGCACCATTCGATTAATTTTCAGAGGGAAAAACTGAATTTCACCCATGCTAGAGGATGCAGCCTTTTTGGAAATGATTGTTAAATTGAGTGTGAATTTACCTCTTACTTTGTTTCATAACATGCACAATTTAAACCCCTCCTGAGTCATTTGATCAAAATTGATTGCTATAATTTTGTTCAGTTCCTATTTCACTGCTATTTAAAAATCTCTGTGAAATCAGATGAATGGTGTTCTCTATTTCTGGTTAGTTTAGTCTGTGACAGTTGAAGGACATAATCTGACCAGATATTAATAATATTTTAGGAATCTTTCTCCAGTTGTGTCCATATGGCTGTGCACCTTCCAAATTAATTATGTATCTGCTTGGCTAACCATCAAGATCTGGTTTCATAAATACAGATTAATCATGTTGTCTGCTTACTAATCAGGACTTATCTTCTTACATGGAAGTTCATTTAGATTTATCTTAAACAAAATGCATTGTGATATTAATGAATAATGTAAGACTTATAATATCAATCATATATCTTTCTATGAGAAGGTTTAAAGTGGCTGCTATAAATTTCTATTTCTGTTCTATGATTGGAAAAACATACATGTCTCACATAGACTATCCATTTTTCACTAGGGAATATTGCTACCCCTTTCTCTGTATAACCATAAACGTCAAGTGGAAAACTTGCAATCAACATAATATAATATTTGGATTCTATTATAGGGCATGTTGTAGATTTTCTTTTACAAAGTCATTTTAAGAAAAGGGAAAGTTCCTTTTATTTTTTTAAGACAGGCAAATACACTAATTAAGGAAGCTTTAAAGTGAAATTATAAATCAAGACATCAAACTTTGCCTTAAGAGTCTGTCTGCAGCTGATCTGACAATTTAGAGAGGCAAGTGAAATCAATAATTAATAGTGGGTTTGGGAGGTGGCTGGAGAACCCTTCACCTTGGGTTTCACGGTTCAAATGCGATCCAGACACGCCGTGGTCAAAACGCGTTACCATCTGTTCCGTTGCCGGCAGGACGTGATGGGCTGGTGCTCTCAGAGCAAGCCTGCAATTCAGACATCAGACAGAAGTGGTCCCCAGCCCCTAGAGACAGATGCTGAATTAATTACCTGTAAGAGCTGTCGCTCGTCCCCCAAAGTTAAATGGGCTTTTATTGAATAAAAATGCACCATATTTTTGAAATATTGCAGTCATCATTAAAATGGTGCTCTTGCCCCTACTTTTATAAATACACCCACAATTCATACTTCCATATGTCTCACTGTGAGGAGCAGCCCAGGCTTTAGTGCTTTCAGTCTTACAACCAAAAGTGCGCAGAATTCGCAGTAGACTCTAGGGCGTTTCCAGTGAGGGGGCGTCACAGAGAGATGGGAGTGTAATTGATCAGCTAAGTGGTGGACCATTCCCTCCCGGACGTCTCTGAGAGAGACTCGACCACTAACAAGATGGGCCCCATCTTCCTCCAATGTGTTTAACAACTTTATTGACGTAGAATCGTCATACCCTAAAATTCTCTCATCTTAAGTGAACAACCCAACGATTTTTAGTATTTACTGAGTCGTGTGACCATCACCTGGCTTGGGAATGAGGCCAGCACACCAATAAGATCCTTCATGCCTTACTGAGAAAGTTTAAAGGCAGAAAGGGAGTCTACGTTGTGTCTGTAGCTTCTTTTATTACCTGTGATTCTCAACTGCAGCCCTGCGAGAATGGTCAGTATCCCTCCGCGTCCTACCTGCAGCTACTATTTAGGAGAGCCCGGGACGGCAAGCACAGCAGCCACAGCGACCTAGAAATGATCACACCATTTCTAGAAATAGGAGCATCCCAAAGGAAATGCAGGACTTTCCCCTTAAACATTCTCTTCTCTCAATCATCTCCGTGTTAGGAATTGGCAATGCTGTTCGTCCAGTCGTTTGTGACAAAAGAACCTTGGGGTCATTCTTGATTCTAGTCATTCTGTACAAGCCACAGCAAGTCCTCGAATCCCGCCAGACTCACCTTCCCACGTGTGTCCCCTCTGGCTCTATCCAGGCTGCAGTCACCTTTAACCAGGAACACGGCAGCAGCTCCCTAAGGGCAGCCCTGGTTCTGCGCCCCTCCCTGGAAGTGTCCACGAGGAGGCCATGGGAGTGATCCTGCTAAGACCCAAGCCACTTCCTGCCAGTTCTGTGCTCAGCATGTCCCACAGCTCTCCCATCAGACTCAGGGTGGAAGCCTGTTCTTCACAGTGGATATGAAGACCAGGCAGACCTACCTCCTCCCTCTGGGACTTGATCTGCTGCTGGCCTCTCTGTCTCCCTGCTCAGGCCGGGGCTGCCCTGCTAGTATGTGAATGCTACGAACTCTCCCTTGCCTCAGGACACTTGCACCTGCCACCAGGTCCCAGTCCCTAGACTGGGAATGTTCTGCCTTCAGATGGGGCCAAGGCTGAGTCCTTCGCCTGCTTTGTGCAAGCATCTCTTTCTCAGCAAAACCTGTGGCCACTCTACCTAAGACAGTGAACAAACCAACCCGCATCTCCCATGCTCCATTCTTTATTTTTCTTATTGTCAGTTGTTGCTACCTACCCTACCACACTAGCGTATTTTACTTATTAATCTTGCTTACTCTTTCCCCTTGGATCCAAGGATGATGATGATGATGATGGTGAGTGTATATTTTCTTTGAGAGAAGATACATTTTCCTTTTTCTTTACTTATTATCCCCAGTGCCTAGAACCATTCCAGACACACCATAGCCACTCAACAAATCTCTTCTGTATAAAAAAAGAAATGAAAGATGAGTAATAAAAAGAGAAGCTAAAGACAGAAAAATAAACTTTTTAAAGTTTTCCTAGTAAGGCATGGAGGATCTTATTGGGGTGATGGACTTAATCTAAAACCAGGTAATGGTGATGGTTATACAACTCAGTAAGTAGTAAAGATCATTGGTTAGTACAGGTGAGATGAGTGGATTTTATGGTGTGAAAATTCTATTTCAACAAAGTTGTTAAACACATCTTTCCCAGTGAGGCTCTTTTCTACGTTCGATGAGACGGAAGGAGGTGGGGAAAGCTGTGGCCCATCTTGTTAGCAGTGGAGCCTCCTCTAGGCGTACCCTGGCTGGAATGTCCCTGCAACGTAGCTGATCCATGACGACCCCGCCGTTCTGTGACACACCTTCACTGGGAACATCCTGGAATCTGCTGCAAATTCTGCACAGACACTTTGGGTTGTCAGAGAGCAAGAACTGAAGTTTGGGATGTTCCTCACAAGGAGACATATGGAAGTGTGAATTTGGGGAGTATTTGTAAAAGTGGGAGATAGAACAGCATTGTAATGATGACTACAATGTTTCGAAAATGGTGCACTTTCAGTCAATGCATGCCCACTTATTCACGTTATGCCCCAGAACTGAAACTGCACCAGTCTCCTAGTGGTTTAAAATTGCTTTAAGGAAAGAGTTACTGCCTCCAAGGTAGTAGTAGTCTGTGCAAAGGGTGAGCAGTTATCCAGTGTGTTTGGGTTGCAGAGAGAGCCAACCTTCATAATCTAAGTTCGAGTCAAGGGAAAGAGGAAGGAATTATTTCCATCCACAATGAATACCTCTGTGAATAAAAGTAAAATGAAACAAAACAAAATTAATAAAATGAGTTTTATTTGGTTTAGTCTCACCACTTGGTGTTCATGGGCTATGATCCTGATTTTCATGGCTAAGCCAAACTTCTTGTCATTATCTTCTTTATGGTTATTTTTAAATACAAAAAGAGTGTGTGGTTTGCCAAAATGTATTGGTTACTATTTAAGTTAATTTCTTCGTAACTGATTTATTTTCCCATAATCTAACCCTGACTAAACATATCTATTTTCATATAAAATTCTAAGTTATTCGTAGATAAGTTAATCGGTTTCATGCTTTTCCTCTTCCTGGTTAACACCACTTTGGGATATTTTTATTGCTAACTTTTACCTTGCCCATAAATGCATGATTAAAAAATAGGTAAAATCATTAATTTTTGCTGGCACTGGAAAGGCTAAAAAAGAGCTCGGAATAATTTCTATATTTACTTATTTAAATTCTCTATACGTCTTTCCTCCTGGTACTTGAGAAGGAAAATCAGCATCAAAATTAAAAACTAAAGTTAATACTAGTTAAATAGCTTAATGCCTAATGGCTTGTTCTGCTTTTTGTCTCTTTATTTGGAACATGGACATGGTCGTCTTTGCCTATGGAGACGCCATACGCAAGGTCACTGCAGGGCCCAAACTTGTGAGTGATGGAGGTAGGGTGAGGGTTGTGCGATTAGAAAAATACTTTAGCACTTGTTCTCTTTTTGTCAGTAAATTGGTGTTTAACTTTTTCTTGATATTGTTGATATTTATTGAAGCAAAAAACTACATATGTTGCTTGCTTAATATGTATTGCCAAGTAGTGACTACCTATTACAAGATAGTATTTACAAGTTTGCTGATTTTGCAAATAAATTTTGCTTGCTTCTGGCCATGGAGACCACATCTATGTGTCAATATGGGTAGCTGACAAAGAAAAGTTCCAGTTTTGTGGACTATATAAGGCAAAATCCAGATCCATTGTTTTGTATGTTGCAAAAAGCAAAGAAACATTTGTTTGGTCATCTAGAATTAGTCAACTGTCAGTTTGACATTGCAAAATAACATACTTTTAAGGGATCTTATGAAGGAAAATT